CGATCGGGAAGTTCTCTGGAGATGCTTGGCTGTAAAGGGAATTCCAAGAAAATATATTGCACTGATTAAGGCACTCTACTCGTACTCATACAGCCAGGTGAGGGCTTACGGCGAGCTGTCATCTGAACTGATGACGACCAGTGGTGTCCGTCAAGGATGCCCATTATCTCCTTTTCTATTCAACTTCATCATAGATGTGTTAATGGACTTAACCCTAGGTGACTTCAGCGACTCAGGGATTGACTTGCTACCGGGGAATAATCTCGTTGACTTGGAATATGCAGACGATATAGTCCTTCTAGGCGAAGACGCTGACGAAATGCAGAGTCTTCTAAACACCTTGAGCCGCAATCTACGAATGTTTGGCATGCGATTCGCTCCCGCCAAATGCAAGATGATGTTACAGGACTGGACTACATCGACGCCTAGTTTAAAAATAGGAAGTGAAGTGGTAGAGCACGTTGACCGCTTCACTTATTTGGGAAGTACCATCAGCCCCAACGGGCTGATCTCTGACGAAATCTCAGCACGAATACAAGGGGCTCGTTTCGCATTTGTTAGTTTACGCCGACTCTGGCGTAGACGAGATGTTCGACTATCGACCAAAGGGCGGGTGTACTGCTCATCAGTCCGCTCCGTCCTCCTTTATGGTTGTGAGACCTGGCCACTGAGAGTGGAAGACATGAAAAGACTAGCTGTCTTTGATCATAGGTGCCTGCGTTCTATTTCCCGTGTAAAGTGGCATAATAAGGTGAGCAACATGGAGGTTAGGCGTAGAGTTCTAGGTAAACAGGGGAAATCAATCGACGAAGTCGTGAAGCTACAAAGACTGAGATGGTTAGGACATGTGTTACGTATGCCAAGCCATCGCCTCCCTCGACGAGCAATGTTAGCGGATATAGGGTCAGGCTGGAAAAAAGCTAGCGGCGGTCAAACAAAAACTTGGCATCAGTCAATGAAATCCACAACAGTTGGTCTAAGCCACGTAGGAAGGTGTAGACTTCCAGGCTGGGGTCCTCGGGACGGTAAAAATCTATGGTTGGAAACAATTGGTGACATGGCTCAAAATCGTTCTCAGTGGCGCAGATGCATCCACTCCCTGTGACTTATGATCTTCAATGAAACTGTTTTGTATTTCTTTATTACTCCTTTGTCTCACACCTCTGCTCACTGTTTCTATTATGCTTTTCTTGTACTTTCTTCTCTTGCTTCGCGTGCTACACGGAATGTGGCGACTTGAACTTCCGCACATTTGTGCAAAGTTCTATGTCGAAAACAGACAGACAGACATATACCAACTCGACGGGACTTTATCTGATTCCCAGACGCTTCGTAGTACCTCAGTTAACGCAAACAGTAGACTGTCTCCACCATACTTAAATATCTCTGGAGTGATTCCATTAGGTCCTGCTGCTTTGCCTTGTTTCAGATTAGTGACAGCCTTAGTAACCTCAGTTGGGGATGGAGGACCTGTGTCTATATCCCATTCAGGGAGGTGTTGGATATTCGGCAGGTTGGTTGTAGGCCAATTAAACTGCTCTCCATAGTGCTCTTTCCAGCGTTCCAGTCGTGTATCCTGGGAGTTAATTATGGTGCCATTTTTCTCCGAGATTGTTTCACTTATCATTTGCCTTTTACCACCTCTTTCCCTGATTAGTCTAAATAGTTGTCCCGTGTTACCTATCGCCGATGCCCTCTCCATTTCTTTCGCTTTTGCTGCCCACCACTGTTCAGGGTCGTTACGAAAGCTTTTTGTCAGTTTGCGCTTGAGTAGCTTTCGCTCATCATAATAGAAGCTTGCTGTATCAGTGTCCTTGCGTAAATCAGTTCGGTTGAGGTGGTAGAATCCAATGGCTCTTACTAACTTTAGGTTTCAGGTTATTAACAGCTTTTACAGCCGTATCTACAGCTACCTGTATGTTGTGCCAGGCTACCTCAGGGAGAGTCCTGCTGTCGACCTCAGATACTCGTCTCGCTATTTCTTCCTTAAATATGGATTCAGAGTCTCGATCTAGTTTGGAACGCAGCTGCTTCGCTGCCGACAATTTTTTATGTCCATTTAATCGTGGGCATGAATGCGCGAACCAGGGCGTGATCAGAGTCGAAGCACGTGTTCCAGAAGGAGCGACAGTCTTCTACTGACCCTCGCCAACGATACCCTATGATTATGGGGTCTGAGACCAACGTTGATTTGGTGATGGAGGTCGCCAGGTTGCACATTGTCTCTCTTTGTGCCTAAAGTTAGTGCTGACTAGGAACAGATGATTGTCTGAACAGAACTGCAGAAGACGATCAGCGTTCCGGGTTCGTCGGCAGGAAACTCCATACGTGCCACCTACACACTTCTCAGTATGGCACGACTTCCCTATTTGGGTATTGAAGTCGCCTGCTAAAACAACTATATCTGAACGTTTTGCTTTTTGCAGCAAATTAGACAGTTTCAGGTAGTCATCATTTAGTTCATACGAACTGCAGTCTGTTGGGGCGTAAGCGTAGACTAAGAAAAAACAACGACGGGTAAAGCCATCTTTCCTTCTTCTGATGGACCTGTTCAGACGGACCGCACACATACGACTATCTATTGGGGTCCAGTCAAGAAGTGATTTGGCAGAGGGTCCTGACATTAAATGCTCCTATATGAAGTTGGCGACGTGGCTTTAAGAGGTTGTCGGGGGGGGAAGGTGTTTCTACGGCAGTTATCGTTGTTTGTGGTCACAGAGTGGAGTGAATATAACTCACTAGTCTGAAGAATAGTACCAACTGTATTAATACATGTGTAGCGGTAAATAATTCCCCAAAATTATTGACTACAGCAATCATCACTCAACATTGGATGCTGATCACCACTGTTTAAGTCGACTTGTTTAGCTGAAGGCTTTCGGTCAAGCATCCCCTCCATTTGGTGCTCCGTCGTGTCTCGTTTGTACACGATCACTAGCCAGCTAAGCGTTTGTCTAACAACTCGTTTTGATCCTGAAATATATCGCGTAATTTGGACGATCAAATACTGTCTTTTGCTTTGCTTTTGGTACGCGAGATTGAAATACATTGGAAGTTGTTGGTGTAAGAACTGGCGTTAATATACTCAGTACAGTGCGCGAACGTCTATGCCGTCAACTTCTTAACATGTGTAAAATTTGGGCACAGTGGTAGTAATTAATCCAATATTAGTTTGTTTATTAGATAAGTTACACAGTGAAACAGTATTACTTCAAGTAAATAACACTTTCATTGTGTGATACATCTAATAAACAAACTAATATGGAAGTACCGACCCTAGTAGGAAAGTAAGATGATGGTGATGTGGGTAAAAGAGAATGATGCTCAGAAAGGTTTCGTGTACTTTTGGAAGTGTGTGGGCAGTTGTTACTTTCTGGCTGCCCACACCATCGAAGTTGGTTGATTCTTCGGGTACCTGAGACAGAAAGAGAATTGATGTTGCGTGACCGTAGAGCTCAGGAGACAACTGCTTTAGGTCGGTGACACAGTCTGTATGAACTGTTTTTTTTTGGTTTGGTTCCGTGTTCGTAGACTTACCGCCGGTTACGGACCACCGTATTGTAAGTCGGGATGTACAATATTTGGGGACGACCTTTTCTAACCCACTTTTTCCAGAGTGAAGAGACAGCATAGATGGTATGCTGGATATCTGAGGGAGACACCTCACTGCCGTTACATCCCTGTTCCCCGGCAGTACGACTTCGCCCACGGCCCCCCAGCACAGTGTAAAATAAAATCTTACACCGTGCCGGTAACTGCTTTTTTTTAGTCTAATCTCTGTCCTAACAACCCTCCTGGCATGGTAGGACCTGTATGAACAACAGTTCAAGCCGGTGTAACTTTTTCGGTTTTCGCGATATGCAAGCCCAACCACCACGTCAAAGTATTTTTTTATTTTTGATTACAGCTTGATTTCACACTGTATTTTTGGTACAAGTATGGAATTTTCAGCATGGATATCGGTAGCCCAAATTTTGCAGGCCGACCATAGATATCAGGTGTGCATTGGCAGGGAATCGAACCTCGGACCATGTGCATGGTCGGCGAGAGTCTTAACCACTGTGCCACCGATGAACACTATTCGTCGGGTCCACTCAGTTTGAATAGACTAGATATTAATAAAATCATAAAAGGCTAAACTGCTTCATCCTTGGCGTTGGCACGATCTGTTTATTCACCAAAAGAACATGTATACTATGCAGCAGTTTGCTGTTACCTAATAGCTTTTAAGTAACCTTGACTGACCAATCGCAGTAAAGCAATGTTAAGATTGGTAAATTTGCTAATTTGCGTTATTTCACCTTAATTAATGTAGTAAGGTTCCTCAGTTAAGTCTAATAGATAATCCGAAATCCAAACAAAACTAGGAAACCAGAAGAACAGCAAGCTGCGAACTCAATACATGTAAGTCATTCAAGATGAATTCTGTGATTAGCTGTTTTGAGGTCGTTTTCAATGGTGACTTAGTGTTGGAGGCTGTTGTACTTTAACTTCTCCATAACTTAGAACCGATGACTACAGGCTACCAGTGGCATGGCTCAAAGTCGCTTTGACGCAGACGTACTCACTGCTTATTAACACCATGACCCTGATTTTCACCCAGTTTCTGTGTTTTTGTTAATAAACACTTGCCTACTGAAGCATTTCATTGCATTATCTAGTTTTATGTGGGCTCAGAAGTTGAGCAACCTGAACAGAAGCACCTACAGCTTTGTAGGTCATCTAATCAACAGAACACACAGAAGCTTCAATATCTGACCAAACACCTGATACGAAACTTCTCTAACTCCCAGATAATTTAAGGCTGATGGTGGGTGAACAGTGTGCATTACTTCTGTGAAGTCATTTACAGCTCAAAGCACTATTACAACTAAACACCATGAACACAAATGCAAAAAAGGTACATTAAAACGGGTAAAAATATCTAGCAAATAAATAAAGCCGTAAAACGTGCATCAATCTAGACTAGTGGACTTAAACTGATCAAAATTTTACAGTACCTTTCCTGGCACGTGATTGAATTTCATCCCTCAACTCCTTGGCTTGGTGATTTAGTGGCTGTACTTCTAGTATGTTATCACAACAGCGAGTTGCATTCTCGTAGTCCTAAAGGAAATTATGAAATTAATTGCATCTACTGATAGTTTGATGTAAGCAATAGCCATATAATATAAGCAGTCTCTTCGAAGGCCATCATCTTTCGTCCTGTTAAATATTTCTGAAACAATAATGATCAGGATGAAACAAACCTTCTAGTAGTCTAATAGACAAAAGTAATGCTTCCTTCTTAGTTGTGCGCAACAGATCGATGGCGTAGTGGAACTGAACTCCATCATCTATGATATTGTTTTGCCTCATACGATTGAATGCATTTCTGGATTCCTGGCGAATAACAAGTACAAGGAAATAATTTACCTGGATAGAGACGATTGAGTCGTTCTTATCAAGCAAATCCATAAGTAACGTAATGTTCCTATACACGGCTCTTTCGAAACAGCTGATTTTACTACACCTTCTCTCTTGGCTGAAATTATCCGTAACTTATCAAGGTCATCGGTGGAGTGAGACGCTCGAAGGTCATTTTCGTCCATCTTAGTCAGCCATGTTGGATTGCAGTTCCGCAGCTGTTCGTGTACGCGTTTGTTGTTCCGTTTATCCTTTCTTCCAGAGTTTATAGTATGATATAAGTTCTTAGATTTTGCAGAGGCTTGGACAAATTTTAATGTGGAATTCATCAAAAACCACCATCAGTTAAAGGATTATAGGAAACTAGGGACAACGAATGGCTTCCCCTCCCCGCGCACTGTGCACCCACAACACTTCCAGAGGATAAATTGTTGACAAGGCTATGAGTTGGAATTCACTGACTGGTGAATTCTTACTTCTATCAGTTCGCGATTTAGCTCTGTCACCAACTAATAACATCCATAAGCACCCATTTCATCCTGAGATGGCAGAGTTTACCGGTGGCTACTCCTAAGCACAACTCCGACGAATCCATGAAGTAGCCACCACTGAACTAGGGATTGAAATGCAGGAATAATTATTTCTTTAGAAAACACATGTTAGAATTCTCTTCCAATTGGACTCCAACAAATTTACTAAGTAGTCAGTGGCCTGTCTCCAAAAGGAAAGGGTAGTAAATGTGATCCCCACGAGGGTGGTAGGCGAGTAATGCCTAGATTAATCTACCAGACAGTTGCCGTTTTCGGGAAAATAAGTGATATAAATGTGGTAAAGTTGGACACGTTAAGATTGTTTAGAGAAGTTCGGGTAATTATGCTGTCAGCCACGTCTCGTAAACCGTCAGTGCCCAGCTCTTGATACGCTGGGACTCACCCTGTTCCTTGAAGTTTCTCAGAAACGCTTAGCAATAACGGACACAAAACCAAAACACCGATTGGCCACTCGAGAATTCTTTATTGTAACACCGATGTAAAAAATTGTTTCCACTAAGTTATGTTAACAAATATTACAATAATAAATCATAAGATTACTTCTGACGATGTTTCAGTCTTCTTTCTGAACAGCGACCGATGAGACGATGACTGGTGTATTGAAGCCTCCGCGAAAATTGTAGAAGTTGATTTTAAGCAAACAACCAAGAATTGATCGTTCAATCTTCAACTCCATTGACACTCCCCGGCAAAAAAGGGATCCAACCCTTTTTTTCCTTCACGACCAATGCACGTTGACTTGGATGCCATTGCGAGAACCTGGGTCACACGGACAGAGCTGAAATGGAAAACAAACAGAAAAGCCAACACACCACAAGCATACCCACAGCACAATCTCACACATCGCTGACGACCTGCGCCTTCCAGTTAAAGGCATCCTCTTGACATCTTGCAACACAATCTCCACTTGCTAGAATGACTCTTGCAGAATGCAACGTGACCATAGCACCACCTCACGATAATCTACGCACATCCTCTTATCTACTCACTACCAATTACCACTGCAATCGCTTGTCACTCATTCTGCCTCGATTCTAGTAACCGTGACGTATGCGAGCCTCAGCCGTCTACACTCCCGCTCCCCGGCGTGTCGGACCGCAGCTAACAATTATCTCCGTATGCAAGTCATTCTCAGCAATAGCCTAGCCTCCCCGGCGTATACGACCCATCTGCTGTCTCTAACATCAATCAATTCATTCACGGATGTAGAAGACAAGAAACAACTTCAGAAGTAATCACGACGAAAATTTTAACAAAATTATGCAACAAAAACAAGGTACGAAAACAACGAGTGAACACAATGAATCCAAAAACACCAATTGATATGACACACCACACATATATACAAACAGTACACACAAACTCGCGGATCGTGTCCTGATGGAATTCCTTTGAAGAATCGCAGGACTTACACCAGTACGCCTACAACCTTCACAGGTTGACGATTGTAAGTTGTGGAATGTCCGGACACAAACAAGATTAACCAACAATTACAATAATTGGAACTCACACAATTATTTAACACAAACATATGTACAATCAACACATCAAATGTTGTGGATTCTGACACGACAAACTACCCTTGAAGAACCGTAGGACTTACAGCAGTACGCCTATATTCCTTCTCAGGTTGATGATCCAAGTGGAAGACGTCCAGACACAAACAGAATTACCAACAGCTAGATGAAAGATGATATCAATTCAGTATACACAACATGAACATATGTACAAAATCACACACCAAGCACATTGGACTGCTCATTGATGCGCTACCCTTTGAAGAATTGTAGGACTTACAGCAGTACGCCCACAACCCTTCTCAGGTTGACGCTCTAGGTTGGAAAATCGTTGCAGAGTTCATTTGCTGACTTCCTTCTATCAGCTATATCCTCAAATCTGAACGGCAACACGCTCATTTCATTGCAGCGGAGAATATAGATGACCAACAAACACACGACATATCTCATCAACCAAGTATAGAAACAGAGTAATTTACACCAAAGATAATAGCATTCAAATAGTAACTTGAAACTAGAAATGCCTTTATTCATGCAAGTCAGTTTAACAATTACTCTCTCCTTTACACTTGGCTTATCCTCACTAAACTGAGTAATATCTTTCGTCTTTTCAAATGCACCAATAATTTCCAAGTCATTGCACAAGATACTTGAGTTGATGGGCGTCTGTTACATTGTGGATGACAAAACCAACGACGACTGATTGACAACAGTTGATGAAGTTAGCAGTGATTTAGAAGATATTGCTCGACATTCAGAAAGTTGTCAACTTGCAAGACCACCAACACTGGTGTATTATACTATCAGCTCAGGTTCAGCAATAGCATCTGATGATAGATGGGCTACATGCTGATCAATTATACTGACGGTCTCACAAGTATGCATGCCTTCTGCAACTGCATCTGCATTTATTTCTACTTCAGGTTCAAGTTGTACAGAAACTTTGTTCAACTTAGCAGTAGTAGGCATATCCCTCATCTCGTAATGATCAACCAAAGACAAATCTGCACTATCATGATCATTATCAAAAATATTCACTTTACCGTCAACTTCATCATTTTCAAACTCTTTAATAACAGAAGTAGACAATTTTGGTTCCTCCTCACAAATCCTTAAAGGTTTTATATCTTCACTCTTACTAGTAATACCTTGTAAACTTGTAGGGTCAGAACTGCACTCTGAAGCAGTAACTCTATTCTGTGACATTCTATTCAACAATGGCTTACCAGTTGCAACTACAGACTTCCTGACCAAACCGTTATCGTCACACAATTCGGAGTCAGACCTGGATATCACATTTAGCTTATCACTGAACTTGCTCACTGATTCACAGCTCACCTTTGTATGCACCTCTTGCAAACGTGTAAAACACAACCGTGTTTGTCTTGCATCTTGTAACTTATCTGTTGAGGATGTACTACGAAACCTGTTACACTCACTAGGTCTATATGCACTACTAGACATCATGGAGCCTTCTCGATATCCACCTCTCTGAGACGCTTTCGTCATCAATGATTGCATTTTCCTCTCAGACTGCTCTATTCTAGGGGTGAGATTCAATATACTGGCAAACTTGCTCATAGATTGATTGACACTAGTATTTACCAGTTTCAGGATATCATCAAATTTTGGATCGATATCCTCTTCCTCCATACGGGAGCTTATCTTCACCCACTTCCTTTGCAGTCGAGTAGGTAGGCGTCTCGCAATTACCTCTAGGACTGAGCTGGAGTTGAGGTCACTCATGCAATTCATAGTAATCAAGGTATTCTTATAAGTCATAAGATTATCTAAAAACTCAGTAAGTGCCTTGGAGTCATCTCGAAGTTGGCTGCCATTACCTTTGACAGCTTCGTATACGTTCCTTACAATCATTGAATGTCTTCCAAACCTTTGACGTAATATGCTCATAGCCTCATCGTAGCCCTCTTTTGGCTTCAAAAACTTACAGCACTGTATAGCTCTTGCAGCATCTCTAGTGCAATACCTCATTAAATACATTAACTTCATTTCATCATTTAATAAAAAACCACTCAACATGATCTCAAACTCCTTTACAAATTGTAAATAATCAGCCGGGTTTCCATCGAAACACCGTGGTTCAAATTTAGAGAGATTGATGTTCCTATTATCCCTGAACGGCGAAACAGTAACATCAACCATGTCATGCTTAACATCAGACACATCGTTACAATTAACAGACAAGTCACCATGACTTACTTTCCTGTTTGCATCCAAGACACTCTTTCCTTTTTTTGACCCAGGCATTGTTGAACTTGACCCAATTCCAAAACAGTTCCAGATATTTCTTGTTCAAAGAGGACTTGACCGGCACCAGGGAAAATGAACGGCGACTATCCAAACTTTCACCAAATGTTTGAATCCGCCAGATCTGTTTCCATCGTCAGAAACTGTCAATCACGTCTCATAAACCGTTAATGCCCAGCTCTCTCTACGCTCGGGCCCACGCTGTTCCTTGAAGTTTTCAGGAACGCTTAGTTATAACGGACGAAAAAACCAAAACACCGATTGGCCGCTTGAGATTTCTTTATTGTTACACCAACATATAAAAATAATAATTGAACTAAGGTCTGTGAAGAAATATTACAATAATAAATCATAATGTTACCTCTGACGATGTTTTACTCTTCTTTCTGAACAGCGACCGATGAGACGATGACTGGTGTATTGATGCCTCCGCGAAAATTGTAGAAGTTGGTTTTGAGCAAACAACCAAGAATTGATCGTTCAATCTTCAACTCCATTCACAAAGTGGGTGAAGATAAGCTCCCGTATGGAGGAAGAGGATATCGATCCAAAATTTGATGATATCCTGAAACTGGTAAATACTAGTGTCAATCAATCTATGAGCAAGTTTGCCAGTATATTGAATCTCACCCCTAGAATAGAGCAGTCTGAGAGGAAAATGCAATCATTGATGACGAAAGCGTCTCAGAGAGGTGGATATCGAGAAGGCTCCATG